CTCTTCTTTTAAAAGCAGAATCTTTTTTTTTTTTTTTTTTTTTTTGGTCCGGTTTGTTAAGGAAATAAATAAGTCTTACCTAAGGTGAAACACTGAGCCAATCAAGAATGAATCAAAATGCATTTTGATTATTATTTTATCAAGAAATACCAGCCCTCTTAAAATGATTGGAGCAAAAGGGAGTATCCCACCAGTTTCAGTTTACTTCACAGCTCTGGTATTTGCACCTGCACACTGTGACCCTGCATGGTTCACACCCAGTTCAAAAGCACCTTTTATTATGTGTTTCCAGCGAGCTGCCTCCAACATGAAGGGTGCCTTATAGATAAAATTGATTGATTGATTTGATTGATTGAAATAAAACAAAGTTTGACATAACAGGTGACCCATAATCATCTTCTTTATACATGTGACTTTTGGTTGAATATGAAAGACCTAATCTAGTCTAAAGATAGATTAGGTAAAGAAATAGTGCAGAAGCACTGTCTTTCCACAATTCAGGAACATTTCCAGTTGTTCCAGAGGTTGTATGAGGTCACTGCAGACATCCCGTCATGGTTGCTGGGTTAATAACAGACCCGGCCTGGTGATGGAGGGCTGGACAGATGCCTCCCGGCTGAAACGCTGTGTCATTAGCTCACGGAGGTGATAAATAGCTTGAGGTCAGAGGCCTGCGGCACCGATTTTCCTTTGAAAATCAGAAAAATCTGCCGTATGGTTGGGCATTTAGTTGCTTTCGTGGCTCCTGTAATTTACAAAAGCCCCCACAGTTTGTTCAAATCACATGGACTCTTTTCTTGAAACCAGCTGGTTAAAACTAACCAGGTTTACTTGGATTCATGTGATATTCAGGTGGAAAATGTTGCATAAAACCAGCAAAAAACATTCACAGATTTTAGTAGATATAAGCACACAGGTTTATATATCGTTTTTGTTTTAACAACTAAAGCACTACTTTAATCTATATTCTCTGTCTATATATACTCTACTATAGTCTATAAATAATTTTTAAACATCAATTTAAGATTAAAAAATTAAACGTTAACAAAATAAATCAAAAGCAGAATAAATCTGAAAAAGCAATTATATCAGGTAGATCTCCAGTTGATCTTGTCAAGGAATGAAGTCAATTAATAATAATAATAGTTAAATGAACAGCAGGATATAACGTAAAACCACAAAATGGATAGTATTTTACATGCATGTGCAGGTATTTATGAATAGATCAATTTGAGATCAATGGAGCATAATTAGCTGAACCAACAATATGCATGCTTTCCAGCATCAAAAATCTATTTTCTTTGTTATTTTCCAGTAGATTTAGAAGAATATTTTTCATCTTACATGTGAAATGTTTCTATTTATTGTTCTAAAGTTGTTATTCTTTCAGGAAATGTCATATCTTTGAGTCTGTATTCTAAATTAATGGACAGTTAATCACAATGTCGATGATTAATTGTTTCAGCTCTTTTATTGTGGTAATTTGGAGTGATTATTGTTTTATCTTTACAGATATGTCCAGATCCTTCCAGTCATCTGTGCAGTTTCCCATCTCACCCTGGCCTTCCCCATCCAAACGCCATCAGCTCATGGTGAGTCCACATTTCCCACCTTACAAAATAATTAAAAACCATGTGAACTTTCACATTATGTGACATTAGCTGCTTCATTATGCAGTTGGTTGCAGTGAATATTAAGAGGTATAAGAGGAAAGCAGGATTTACTATTACAATTTTATTCTCATATTACTATGAGTTTATTGTCTAACTATTATGACTTTATTCTCATATTATTAAGATTTTATTCTAGAAATATTGTCTTTATTTTCATAACACTACAACTTTATTCTCATATCACTATAACTTTATCCTCAAAATATTATGACTTTATTATGATACTTTTATGACTTTACTCTCTTGGATTTTGTTGACTTTATTATGTTTTTTGTTAGGGATAGACACACATTAGCGTAGACAAACTGAATAAAACAACAGTCCCGTGGTGCTTGTAGTGTAACTAATTTGTCCCTTTTCTTGTATTATTTTCCCCTCCATATTATTTTTGGCATAAAAGTCAATAAATTTTTTTTTGGGAAGTTTTCAGAGTTGTTTTGTCCTTTTTTCTCTTGCTTCCATCAGATGACGTGCGGCAGCTGAAGCTGGACATCCCCCACTCAGGTCCAATTCATGTCCCTCTGGGCAGCTCCATCTCCATCCCTTGCTTTGTGTCTCTGTCCTCCTCCTCTTCGTCGTCCCCGTCTGTCATCCCCCGGGTGAAGTGGACAGTTGTGTCCGGTGGGATTGAGACACAGATCTTGGTAGCGCGGAGTTCAAGGGTGAAGATCAACGAAGCGTACCGCGACCGTGTGGCGCTGCTGAACTACACGTCCTCCCCTGAAGATGTGTCTCTGTGGTTAGGCGACCTGCGCCACAGCGACTCCGGTCACTATCGCTGCGAGGTGCAGCAGGGACTGGAAGACGCCAGCAAAGTCGTACAAGTCAAAGTCAAAGGTAGCATCAGCATGTTGAGGCTTATTCCATATTTTTTTCTGTGCAACACTTTCCTCCAGTGTATTATAAGCCTGGCGGGTCACCAGGCTTTACTCGGGCCCCCACCAGGCTAAGCATTGCTTATTTATTTAAGTCTTTTCAAAATGTTTGCATTTTTTAAGACTTTATAGTTGGTGTTCAGGTGTTAAACTTCCAATCTTTCAATAACACATGATTATTGAGTATTTTTTAACTCAAAAACATGACGGGCTGCTGGATGAATGGCTGCAGAGTGCCCAAATACCAGGCGTAGCAAAGTTCTGGGGGAAACTTTGTGGAAATTTTTAAAGATATTTGATCATTCTGTATCCAGAGTTGGGTAGTAAATAGTTCCATTTACTCAATTACATTTAATTGAGAGAAAATGTACTTTTAGGAGTATTTTTACTACGCTGTACTTTTTATTTTTACTTCAGTAATTTTATTATGAAGTATCACTACTCTTATTTGAGTAAAATTTCTGGATTCTCTACACACTGAATGAAAAACAAACATGTTTTAACCAAAAATTAAAGTTTTTCTTAAAGTTTCATAAGTTTTTTATCGAGAGAAACTGAAAAAAATATATATATTTGCCTGATTTTGTTATTTTTTTGTTACTTATATGAATTGTTGTTATTTTCGTACTCAAAATACAAAAATTTCCACTTAACTTTACCTTTGGTCCCTTTAATCATTTTGAAATATAAAATAATTAATAATTTGATCACTTACTCAGTACTTGAGTAGACTTTTTACCAAATACTTTAAGAGTACTCTCTTAGATCCTCTAAGAGTATCTAAGAGTACAAAAAAATCTAAGAGTAAAAAAAAATTGGATAGCTACTTTTTGCTTTTACTTGAATAAAAATACGTAATGCCATTGTTACTTGAGTACAATTTCTGTGTATTCTTCCCAGCTCTGTATGTGTCAGAGCTGTAAAACATTTGATTTTATCATGTTAATAATTGCACAACCTGACTGTCCAGTGTATTTCTGAATGTGTAAATATGTTGTGATGTTTTTAGGTGTGGTGTTCCACTATCGAGATGCTTTGGGTCGGTACTCGTTCTCCTTCCAGCAGGCCCAGAGGGCTTGTGAAGGCATCGGTGCTCAGGTCGCCACACCCGACCAGCTGCTTGCAGCTTATTTTGATGGATATGAGCAATGCGACGCAGGTTGGCTGGCGGACCAATCTGTCAGGTAGTTTTTCACTCTTTAAAAAATGCACATCTTTGTCCTTCTATTTGGGTTTCTACTGCTTCTAAAAACAACCCAGGCATCTTTTGGCAATCAGTTCATGCTTTTTGGTGTCTGGAAAATGCTTCAAAACCCTCCCGATTGTTAAGTCACATTAAATGGGCACCGCTACCTAGCAACCCCAGCACGTTTGGTCAGCTGGTTTTACAGCTGTACGTGCTGTAAAATGGCTGCTGGAAAAGTGTCTTGTTGTTGACTTACCATCCAGAAACCACTTGCTGTATTCATTTTGGTTGTGCAGGAGGCTCTGCTTCTGCTTTTCAAAGATGCACGGTTGCATAATTGCGTCTTTTTTGCAGCCTTTTTCACGTACGAGTGTAAACGTTGAGTTGGAGGGCGTGGCCAGCAGCAGATTATCTGGATTTAAAGTGATAAGACACCCTACAGCAGCTCATTCTGGAAGAAAATACAGACTAAAATCTCATTGGAGAATTACTTTGTGTAAAAAAAAATATATAATGAACATGTTTTGCAGCCCTAGCCTGTTTAAGGAAGCATAATATCTTTGAACTTTTATTATATTTCATGCTGAAATTACACAAAATCCACAAATTACTTCTGCAATCCCTTGATATATTTATGAATGTAGGATTTGTTGTTTATTTTGTCAAACCTGCATTAATTTCTCAGTTGCTCAGAGGTCAGTTTAATTTTAGAAAGCATTTTCCTTCACCTACGCAGGTATCCAATCCAAGTGCCCCGTGAAGGTTGCTATGGAGACATGGACGGACAGCCAGGAGTGAGGAACTATGGGACGATGGATCCAGATGATCTCTTTGACGTCTATTGCTACATAGAGCAAATTCATGGTATGAATTATAATATTGTAAAACTAGATGTGGTGTACACAGAAACAGTTCAAATCAGATGTTTACATAAACTTTCTAAAAAATACACAAACCTTTTTTCTCACTGTCTGTTGCAATCTTTTGATGTACGGTTGACATGAATTTCCTCACACTTTCAGAAGGTCTTTTTAAAATTTACACCTAACTTTAGAAGTTTAGAGACTGTGGACAATTTCACTGGTGTTCCTGGATCTTCTGGTTCATAACACCATGAGATGGAGTCAGACCAAAAAGCAGACAGAAGACTAAAAGTCTCAAAATAAAGGATATTTCATAAGATAACTTTAGAATGACACCAGGAAAACCACAAGAGAGCATAAATTATCAAGAAACATGAGAGAAACAACAGAAAAGAGGCTTGGAAGCAGGTGGATCTGACAAGGAGTAAGCAAAACGGACAGGCTTATAAATGTTTGGGGAGGTGATTAGTGGAATCAGGATCAGAGTGATTAGGAGCTAAGAGAGTTATAGGATAAGTCTAATGAGCTAAGAAAAACAGATCATTGACCCACAAGAAAGACAGAGGTATAGGTCAAAAACAGAAGATTACCTTAAAATACGAGACTCAGAACACAGAACTAAGATAAAACCGAACTCAGAATTTGTGGGATCATGACACTACTATTTTTTTTACTTCAGAAATGTCTGCTCTTTGGTATTTTTCATAGATTTAATTAAGGAAATATGAACACAATGTTTTCTTGAGACACATCCCATTTAATACTCAATTTTTGTGAAAATGTAGGCTATGTAACTACACCAGGGTTTCCCCCAGTGTATCATAAGCCTGGCGGGCCACCAGGCTTTACTTTTGCCCCCACCAGGCTAAGCATTGCTTATTTATTTAAGTCTGTTTAAAATGTTTTCATAGTTGGTTTTCAGGTATTAATCTTTCAATAATGCATGATTATCAAGTGATATTTTCTAATTTCATGTCAACTTTAAAAAATTTTAAATGAAAAACACGACAGGCCGCTGGATGAATGACTGCTCTGCCACCCAACCACCAGGCTCAGCAAGTTTTCTGAGCCTGGTGGCTCAGAAAACTTGAGCCACCTTGAACACAATAGTGGTTTAGGAGACTGTTTAAGTCTGAATAATTCACATTTTAAAGCTAAGTTTAACTAATGTAAGAACATAATCTGAAAATTACCATGTGCAATGGACTGAACATTTGCAAAAAAACAACAAAAGGCACGAAAACTGAATCTATGATCAACTCAGAGGTGATGAATCTCTTGATTTTTCTAACAAGATTTTGCTCGATTTTAGTCCTGATTTTAAGTAGTTGACTTGCATATATTGTTCTTGATAGTTTTTATAGATCAGAACCTTCTTCTTCTCTCCTCCACCAGTCTTATTTGTTTAAGCACACTATTCTTAAAAATGACATGAAATAAAATCTATAACCTCGACCTGTTCCGTACAAGTAATCAAAACCAATGTTTTGTGTTTTTAGGAAAGGTCTTCTATGACCCCGTCCCTCAGCAGTTGTCATTTGACGAAGCCCAGTCATATTGCGGAGCTGCGGGAGCACAACTGGCTACAACCGCACAGCTGTACTCAGCGTGGAGCGAAGGGTTGGACCGCTGCAGTCCAGGTTGGCTGTCTGACGGCAGCGTGCGCTACCCCATCGTAATCCCAAGAGAGCGCTGTGGTGGCCCACAAGCAGGCGTCAAAACTCTCTACCGCTTCAGCAACCAGACCGGTTTCCCAGAGCCGTCTGCCCTGCATGATGTCTATTGTTTCAAAGGTGGGTGTCTTTAAATACTATAAAGTGGTTCTGTACAGTGTGACTAACCTCCCTTGAGCTGTTACTATCACCACTGTGGAAACCGAAGATTGTTGTCAGCAGGTTTATTGACATACAAAAGAGTGAAACTGACGCCATCTTGGACAACTCTGCAAATCATGTGTAATTTTTATAACAAAACAACTCATTTTACAGTCAAATAATGCATCTAGCATAAAAACAATGTTACAAAATTATTTATATAGTACATATCAGCAATGCAACCTTAAATGAAAGATATATGCAGTAATTTCCTCCAGCAGGACATCATGAAGTGACGACTGACACCATAACTGTTTTGCTTGACTGCAAGGAAAAGTTTTGGTCCAGATTTAAAAAAATTAAATTGCAATACCTGAAAAGTGATGGTGTATTACGACCATTGTAGATAGAAACAAAAAAGAAAGAGTAAATATTTTCCAAAACACTGAGATTTTGAGATTAATCTGAGACAGATAAATTTTCAAATAAGCAAATTTGCACAGAAACATAAAGATATAACCCTAAACAACCCATTTAGTAAGTTAAGATTTTTTGGGGAGTTGGTTACACTGTAATATTCTTGTTTGTTGTTGTTTTTACACTGAAAGCAAACTTTTAATTTCTTATCTGTCCTCAGCAGGACATGGAGAAACTTTTACTGAGTCTCCAGTGGATCATCTGATCACAGAAGCTGAAAACTTACAAGAAAATGTTGTTATTCTAATGGAACGAGAACAAGAAATTCATCTTAATCAACTGGAGAAGCAAGTGGAACGAGAAGCACAAAGCGAACTGGAGTCTTTACCTCTGTTGCCCGAGTCTTTAACTACAGAAGATCCACTCGATAGAAACCAAACGGTCACCTCAGATAGAGCAGAATCTTTCCCCACTGCAGCTTACGCTTCGGGCTTCGTTAAAACACTAAATGAAAGCACAGAAAAACGTTACGACTCCCAGCATCTTACAGAGGCAGCTGTCAGCACAATCAGCACAACGAACACCTTTGATTCAACACAAAGCACAATGATTCCTCCTGGTGATTACAACGGGACAGACTTACACCGGAACCTGAGCTTCACCTTTCACACATCGGAGTTTGAGAGAAGCACATACAAACCGCAGACGGAGAACCAGACAGCATCAGACACAAACTCTACTGAGTCTCTACAATCAACTGAACAGACAATCCAGTACCAAGAAATTCACGAGACCAGTTTGGACAAATCTCACACCAATTACAGCGAAACCAAGAACAACCGTACAGACGTAGATGTAGAGGAAGCGTTTTGGGAGGGGACAACTTTGGCGGCTGGTCCATTGCTTCAGGTAAAGTTGGAAGATGCAACTACAGAGGATCCTGTACAGATGGACACGACTCAGGCGTCCCAAGATAAAGGATCTCCAGCCACACAAGAAACTCCAACTACTAAACTAACCAGTGAGGCCTACTCAGTATGGACTCCCAGTGATGGATCCGGAGATATTTCCCAAGGTAGGGAAACTACTTTCATAAAATAAGTGCATTACATAGGCCGGTCACCTGAAAATGTGTCATTGTATAATTAAATGATGATAATGTTTAGAATCAGAACATATTACCTCTAAAATGTTAATGTTCAATGTATTTCATAAACCACATTAGATATTTGGATTAAGGCAGACTTTTCAAGAGGTTGGTATTTTCTATCTAAATTAAAAACACTACAGATATCACTGCAAAAACATAAAATCTTACCAATGATTTTTGTGAAATATGTGAAAATGTGAAATAAGACAAAACTAATTTACAAGTAATTTCTCGGCAAGATAAGTCAATAATGCTTTAATATTGATGAAAAAGTACCAGTTTTAACATGACAGATTATTTCACTTATAACAAGACATTTTTCCCATTTTACAAGTTGAATAAAATGCTAGTGACTCAAGTACTTTTTCATCAATATTATCAATTATTTACTTAAAACAATCTCCTATATCTCGCTGAAGAGTTATTTGTAAGTTAGTTTTGTCTTATTTCAGGTGTACTAATTTATGTGCATTAGAAACTAGACCAAAAATACTTTTTGGGTTTTTGCATTGTTGTTTGTGGAAATTTAAAATTTCTTGTTTTTTGATAGACAGGTACTTGTCATTTTCTTCTTTACGTCATACAGATTTTTTCAAACAAGTTTCCTCCAGTATCTAAAACAAAAATTTATATTCAGAATTGAATTTTTTTCAATTGATTTGTTTATTTATTTATTCACTTCTTGTTTATTTATTTACAGGAAATGGTGTAATTATTGGTTTATATTTCATGTTTAGCCACTTTAAATAATTTTCTGAACAATAGCCAACAAAGATCAAGATGCTTAATGTAAAAATATATGCACACAAATTGTATTTTACTTTGGATTTTTGTGCCAGGTGTTAAGTTATGAGAAGCTTTTCTGATTTATTTCTGATATTTTTACATGACTTGAGCTGAAATTATTTTTAGTGGTTTGTGTTTAAAAAATGTATTTTGCAAGACTAAACTGCTTGGGCAAAATGTGCTTGAAATGTAGGTGCATTTGTTTAAGGTTAAATGAGAGCTAGAAAACTAGGTGCAAAGTTGAAATTATGACAATGTGTAAATCAATTTAAACTTTTACAAAAACAATTTTATTGAAGACTTTTATCCAGATTTCCACTGTTTTTGCTTTACACATCTGATATTTATATCAGATAATGTTATTTCAGGAAATTCTTATCAGTTAAGCATTTTGTCACACCTGTAATCCAAAATATGTTATCCTTTCTTTCAGAGAGAGAATTTGAAACGGAAGCAGCCACCTTCACATCCTCGTCTCAATCCTCTGCAGCTGGATTCACCGCTAAACCGGTGGGTTCTGCGGTGGCTAGCACCACACCTCAGAGGGAAGCTCCCGATCCAACCCTCTCTTCTGTGTCACGCCATGTGGACAAATTGGATTTTGAAATCCACACCACGACATCAGACTTGTGGGAACTCACTATTTCTAGACAGGAAGGAAGTACAAGCTCAGACACAGAAGAGGATGATGCAACTCAGGCTCCTGAACAGGTAGTTTCTGGAGTAAGTTTACCTATGACTGAATCTCCAGAGGACTTCAATGTCTCTCATTCACCATCTGAATTTGCAGCGGAACAGTATCAGACATTAGGCAGCTCTTATGAAGAAGCAAGTGGATCTGAACTTGGAACAGTTACTTCCATCTTTCAGGAAGGTATTAAAGTTGCATCGCCTTTTGAGAAAACTTTTATAGTTTTCCCAACCCCTGGCAAGGAAGAGAACAAGTCGACTTCAATTGAAGAAGAAGCTAAATTTTCCTCAACTGCTGTGCCTAAAGAAGAAGCTAATGCTAGCCAAAGCACTGAAAAAATTGCCCCAACATTTGTTCTTGAAGTAGAAACCAAAGTTACACCAACTGTTATCCTAGTAGAAGAAGCTAAAGTTAGCCCAACATTTGGTCTTGAAGACATTAAAGTTGTCCCAATTCTAGTTGCTGAAGAAGAACCTAAAGGAACCCCAACAACTGCTCTTGGAGAAGATGTTAAAATAACCCCAACAGCTGCTCTTGAAGAAGACACTATAATTGCATCAACCCCAGTTTTTGAAGGAGTAACTAAAGCTGATCCAAATGTTGCAGAAGAAGCTAATGTTACAACAACTCTGGTTTCTGAAGAAAAAGCTCGTGTTGACCCAACTGTTGTCCTAGATGAAGAGACTAAAGTTAGCCCAACTATGGTCCTTGAAGAAATGAAAGTAGCTCCAGTTCTGGTTGCTGAAGAGGACACTAATGTTGAACCAACAGTTGCAGAAGAATCTAAAGTTCACCTGACTTTTGTTCCTAAAGAAGAAGCTCATGTTGAGCCAACTTTTGTCCCAATAGAAGAATCTGAAGTTAGCCCAACATCGGTTGTTGAAGAAAATAAAGTTGTGCCAGCTCTGGTTGTTGAAGAAGAAGCCAATGTTGACCCAACTGTTGTCCCAGTAGAAGAAGCTAAAGTTATCCCAACATTGGTTGTTGAAGAAAATAAAGTTGTGCCAGCTCTGGTTGTTGAAGAAGAAGCCAATGTTGACCCAACTGTTGTCCCAGTAGAAGAAGCTAAAGTTATCCCAACATTGGTTGTTGGAGAAAATAAAGTCGACACAACAGCTGCTTTTGAAGAAGACTCTAAAACTGCATCAACCCCTGCCGCTGAAGAAGAATCTAAAGTTGACCCAGAAATTACAGGAGAAACTTCAAGTTCCCCAATTTTGGGTCTTGAGGAAGAGGCTGATGTTGACCCAACTCCAGTCTTTGGAGTTGTCATTGATGAAGAATCCACAGTTACCCCAAACATAACTTTTGAAGAAAAGGCTAAATTTGACTCAACTCTGGTTCTTGAAGAAGAAGCTAGTTTTACACCAAGTGTTAAGGAAGAAGCTCAAGTTGACCCCACTTTGATTTATGAGGAAAGTAAATCTACCCAAATCCCTCTCCAGGAGAAAGAAGTCAATGTCCTAAAGTTTGAAAATTCAGAGGAAATTACTAATCTCTCTGGTGCCCCTGAAGAAGACTCCAAAGTAACCCCAACCTTTGTGACTGATGAACTTAAAGTTATTCCAATCCTTGTTTTCGAAGAGGAAACTGATGTTGCACCAACCCTTGAGGACTTTACAATCTTTCCTGTGAGTACTCAAACATCTAAGTGGAGTCTGTTGACTACCACAACTGGACCTCAGGAGCATCTGGATAGTGTAAAGATTAGTCAGAAACCCCCCTTCATGCCAGTGTCCAAGCCCTCAATGAATACCAAGTCCATGTCTTCTGCCCCTACCATTTCTACCCCAACATATGTGCCCCAGCGCACCTGGAGCCCAAGAACCACAAGACCTCACACTTTCCATAAGACAACAGAAACCCAGAAGGTGAACCATTTCATGCCACCATTGGATCACGGTGTGGTTGATCTTGACATTAGCCTCACCCAGCCACCCACCCTGCATAACTTGCCCAAAGAGAGGGCAGCTGTAGGTGGTACAGGGGCATTTTCAGGTAATGCTAAAACCACTCTTATCAACCTAACCGTCCTCTTCTTGCTCAGCACACTGATGCACTAAAATCCCAGGTTAATTTTCTGACAAACTTCCTCCATGTTCTGTAAAACAAAAATCTCCCCCAAAATCAAAACCCTCTCCCTGTTTGTTTCACTTGCTGTCTCAACAGATCCTCACACCTTTCTGACTCCTAAACGCTTCACCCTGTTAAAACACTCCCACACTCCTCACTGCTCTCCTGCTACTCACACTGGGACAGTTGACATTTTGTCAACATTTTTTCTTTTTTTGCATGATATTTCCTACTCATCCAAAGACTGACTTCTGTGAAGTACAGATAAGTTTGAATGAATGTTTTAGTACAAGAATGGTGGCAATAGCCCCTGAAATCAGAATGTGTTTTGCATAAATGTTGAAACTAAGGCTACATTCACACTGCAGGTCATATATGCGACTTGTGTGTGATCTCCAATGTGAATTGCAAACTACTTGAAAGTGTCCCGCATGCGCAGTAGAGAGCGCATTATCGTCACACAGTGAGCCTGCTCAGTGTTTTGCCAACTGCCATAAAAAAAGAAGAGGAAGAGCTCAGTGTTTTCGGAAGTAAACGTGGATGCTAACGGTGGAGCATAGCTTACGATTTTGTTGTCCGATCGGAGCCAGCACATTAGCAACATAACCTGCATGGTTGTTGTTTTTCTTCCCGCTTGCGCATATTAGGAAGTAGAATAGTGACGTTTGTCGAGTGTGGATGACGTTCAGATTCAGGTCACGTTTGAGAAAAGATCGGATACGGATCTCTGACGTTCAGATGGTCATGAGGAGATCGAATACAAGTCGTATTAAGGTAAAAAAAAAAACTGATTTGGGTCACTTCAGGCTGCAGTGTGCATGTAGCCTAATTTAGGAATGTAACAAATTAATTTGAATGTGATAGCACTGACCAATGCAACTAGAATAATGTTTTTTGACAGGAATGTTCTCTGATATTGCCTCTCCAGATAACATAAGCACACGTTGTGTTAAGGTTTAGAAGCACAACCCATGTTTATTCACAATTTGTTGTGAGCAGTGGGGGTTTTTGAGGTTGGCCATGTGGGCAGTTGCCCAGGGCAGCAATAGGAAGGGGGAAGGACAAGCTCCAGATTTTCTAATGGTTTTGAGCATATCAAATGAAGAACTCAGAACATTTTGAAACTTTCTTGCATTTTGATTGACTTGGAAGAGGCGGGAGGAGGGATAAGCACAGTCGCCATTCATGCAAGAACTGCCACTGCTTGTTAGTGTTTAGCACCTTGTTTTTAATTATCTTTAAGCTGTTCCCTTTTCATATTTCACAATTATATTGCCTGTTGTTTATTCATGATTTTCAAGGATGTGTGTTGTGTTTTTAAGAAGTAATTCTGGTGTATTTTATTTCTGTCTACATTAGTAAAAACATAGTCATTTTATGGTTGGCGGTTTCTACATCATGAGGCATTAGATGTTAATTTCTTTGAAGAAAAAAAAAGAGACAAAAAATACTTTTTAAAAAAAAGCTTGTATAAAATTTGCTTGACAGAAATCCATTTAATCGAAGTGCTATTATTGTGTTAGTAAAATAAGATCCTTTTATTCTGAACTCAATGTAATAGATTAAAGTTAAATTATTATTATTTTAGTCAGAAATGGGTGTTCAGTTATTGACAGAACAATGCAAAAAAGAAAGTTTTTGTGAATATTTCATCCCACAAAGAAGTATAAACATTTTATACTCATGACAATAATAAAAACCATGAAACAGTCAAAACTATTATATTTTAATTTCTTATGAATAAATTTTTACATTTACCATAATATTAAGCATTTGTCACTAAAAATCTAAGAACAATATTTAATTTGGATTTTTTTAAATATTGAAATACCCTGCGAAAATTAAGAATACGTGACAAATAAGTAGAAATATCAATTTTGGCCACATTTTGTATAGCCATAATCATTTAAACTAGTTGTTTTTGTTATTTTGTGGCCATATTGAGCCATTTCTAAAATACATTTCTGGTTATAGTTCTCCATATACTTTATGTAATTGCTACAACAGGATTTTCTTCATTAGCACTTGTTTTTTTGTTTTGTTATTCTGTTTTATTTGTCTGTGTTTATACTACAACTGTTCCTTTTATTCAAGTAACTGCACTGAAAACAAAGTGTTTTAAATATGTTAGCAATGCATGTATAAGGAGATGGACTTTTCGCAGATTTATATATTTTAAGTCTCTGTTGTCCTCTAAAGGCTGAAGTTGTCCATTTTCGTTTGCTAAAATAAAAATAATAATCACGCAATTACTGGTGCTTGGTTTAGTAATATACCAATTGCAGCCTTGATTTTCAGATTTTAGTGGTGCATAAACAACCATCTCCCCTTTCGATGAAGAAAAGTGAAAACATCTCCACTGAGATAAACTTTGCCAAGTTAGTAAAACTTTGATGTTTTAGTGAACATAAACATGAGTAAAACGATCTTAATGAGAGGACGGGGTCCTTTAGACTTTAAAGGAGTCTCTGTGGTTTCCCACGCTTTATTTATATTCCTTTGCTCAGCTTTGACAACAGTTACGCCTGGAGAGCATATGATTCCCATTTGTGTCGTGAAAAGTAGTTATTACCTTTTACATACACTGCAGAGATGTTTCTGAAAGGAGCTTTATGTGAAAGTGAACATAATGACAAGACAAAGCTTATGTTGTTAAATATTTGATTTCTGGTTATACAGATATATCATGTTTTGCTTTCTTTTCATATTTTTTAAAATAAATCCAGACTTTGAGCTCTCTTTCTTCTTTTCAAGGCTTTAAACAAGCAAGCTATCATCTCAGTGTGACAAAGCAAATATTTTTCTGTTTTGTGCACTGAAGCTTTCAGTAACATTTTGCTTGAGTGAACACTTTGTATGAAATAATGTTATCAGTTATGACTAACATATTTTTCATGACCTTAGCAAAAAAACTGTGGAAAATTTTAATAAAAATACTGAACATGATTGCCAAAAAATAAACAACTTCTGTATTTATCTGCAAACCTTTTGAAAACAGTCTTCATGAGAAGCAAAAATTGCTTATTGCGCCTTGTGCAAACAAAATTAGATATTTTAAAGGGTTAATATTTAGGAGAAGAACAAAAAGGAACGAAGATGACAAAGGAAGGATCTAAGAAGACAAAAAGATCACCCTGTCCTCTCTTGGCTTACATTTTGTCTTTAATTCTGTGTCCTTCATTTGAAATTATACTAATATTAAATGTATAAAACAACGGATTCCTACCTTTAAACTAGTGTGTGCTTAAATAATATTACTGATAATTTTCCCACGTGGGGTCAGATCTGTGGTTTTTATTTCAACATTGATCTGCAGTAGCCCCTCTCTTGTGTTTCAGATGCCTGTTTGGACGATCCCTGTCTCAATGGAGGGACCTGCACTGAGCGGGACGGACACATTAAATGTCTCTGTTTGCCGACATACGGAGGAAGGTTCTGTCAGAGCGGTGAGATTCCTGCCTGTCGTTGCTTTCCATAGTTTTGAAGAACATACACATTTAGTCGGATCCTTTCTGTGTTGTGTTGATTTTATTAAATGTTTAGGCTGTGACATGTTTTTTTTTTTTTTAAATTGGTGGTTTCTTGGTCTATTCTGACAAAAACAACAATATTAAAGTCACACGGTTATAACAATGACAGAGTTTTCTAAGCTGTTTCATAGTCAGGCTAAGGAACAATCCAAATAACAAAAGACATTTTGTGTAATTATAACAGTAGAAATGCAACCCGGTTATACACAGAGGTATCAAATGTTTATCTCACTTGTTTAAAAAACAAAAATTAGATCGTGATCAGTCAATGTAGGACTTTTTCCACCCAAAACTAATATTTTACAGGAAAAATGCAAAGAAAAATTTAAGACTCAATTAAAAGTATCCCTAAAAAAGGCAGTGGATGGAAACAGGTGGTTTGTTTCTTAAATGCACTTCCAACTTGATTTAAAAAAATAAATAAAATGTTATAATAACTAAACATTTCTTACAACTTAGATGCAAACCAAAGTTAACTTGATCTGATCTTACAAGTTCAGAAAATGGCCAAAAAATTTTATTTTGAAAATCTAAAAACATCTCTGCCACGCCCTCTGGTGTGTTCTTAGTTTTTTTTTTTTTATTATTATTATTTATTGGAGGGTCTAAAAGTTATCAAAAATAATCACATCAGCTCTAAATACAAACATTAATTGCAGATTTAGGTTAAATACTAGCTTCATTATATTCTAACTGCCTAAAAAACCCTAAATGACCACAACAGCCCCTTTAACTGATACATTACAGATGCAGCTTTTGATTAAAATCAGTATTAAATCTACTTCAACATACATAGCTGTCATAAGTTACACGATTAACTGTAAATAAAGGTACGCTATCCTAGATTGGTTTTTAAGTTACTCTTCTGGATCCTTTAGCTGCAGATTTAGGTTAGCTTGCACTCAGGTTGCAGAAGTTTCTCATTGGAGAGAGTTTCTCTCAGGAGAGAGTGCAAAGAAATCCACATTGTAACATATAAAATGCCAAGAATGAAGATTTTGAGTTGTTTGAGAAAATATGGAGACACAGTGACACTGCGAGTAGTGGTTGTTGTCCATGACTGATAAAGCAAAATCAGGTCAGTGAGGTTACTAAACAGCTGATGGAAAAGAACAGAAATATTCTTTATTGTGGGGAAATTCAGCTCTGCTACCAGCAAAGTGCAATATGAAAACAGAAAATAAAAATAATTTAATGTACAGTAACGACTTTTCCACATCTTTATCATAATTTTATTCTAATTTCATGCAAAGCAGCGTGTGGAATAAAAGTAAACGGGGCACAGTTTCTCTTGAGTCATTAATTATCACAAAATGAACAAAACTAAGCATTCATTTAGTGCGGAACCTGCTGAGTCATCTAAGCTTGCTTTGTTGTGCTTTCCTGACTCCCTGCTGTGCTTCAGACTTGGAGCGATGTGAACCAGGCTGGGATAAATTTCACGGTTTCTGCTATCGACACTTCAGCCAGCGCCAGAGCTGGGAGGTGGCAGAGAGGCACTGCCGCACGCAAGGAGCTCATCTGGTGTCCATCATGACCCCAGAGGAGCAGGACTACATCAACAGTAGGGCCACGATGTCCAGTTTACCTTTTCTTTCCTGTCAGAGTTTAATTTAGACTTTCTAAAGGTTTCTGGGTGTGTTTTATTTTATGATTGAACTGGGATATGACTCTTCTAGGTAACTACAAGGAATACCAGTGGACTGGTCTGAACGATAAGACAGTTGAGGACGATTTTCGTTGGTCTGACGGAAACCCACTGGTGAGAAAAGTTAGACACATGAAACAACAAACATCGCACAAAATTACGACAAAGTCAATCAATTGTATTTTTTGGTACATTTTCAAAAGTTTTGTAACTCCACTAAATAATTTTTAAAACTATTATTAATTCAAATTTAAAATGTATGAGTGAAATACCCCTTTTTTCAAATTCAAACTTATTCTCCAAATCAATGCAGCTGTATGAGAACTGGTACAGAGGGCAGCCTGACAGCTACTTCCTGTCTGGAGAAGACTGCGTGGTGATGGTGTGGCACGATAACGGCCGCTGGAGTGACGTACCCTGCAACTACCACCTGGCATACACCTGCAAGAAAGGCACCTGTAAGTTCAGCCAATCAGACGGAGTAGACATCATTTGAACCTGAGATTGTAGCTCCCTCTACTGGTTGATAGAAGCCATTACATCACCATTTGTTCCGTCTTTTAACAGCCTCCTGTGGCCCGCCACCAAAAGTCCGGAATGCGTCCATATTTGGAAAAACGCGAGTGAGATATGAGACCAATGCAGTTGTGCGGTATCGCTGCTCAGAGGGCTTCCAGCAGAGACTGAACCCTGTGGTCAGGTGTCTGTCAGGAGGCCGATGGGAGAGACCTCAAATCCTCTGCATCCCTGGTGAGACTGTAGCTTATTCCATAACTATACCCAGTTATTCATGTTAATCATGTCTAATTCTTTTTTTGTTCATATTTAATCCAGAAGGTGGAGAAATTATGCAGCACCTTGGCATGTTGTCGCAAACCGACAGCAACTTTTCAGCAGCTGAAACTGAATTTGAAGCCACTAAAGAGACACCACAGTACTGGGACATCAAGTTTTAACACCTTAAAAATACAGTTTGGTTACGGTACCATGACAAAATGTAAATTATCTTGAATAATGAACCACAAAAACAAAAAATGATGGAAAATTATTCAAATTTGCTTCAGATAAGAATGTGCATCCATGATTATGGATATTGTAAACTCATCATATGGAATTTAATTACCCCCAAATTAGGCCTGATCTTTAAATATTTCCTAACAATTGTTCTTGTTGTGGTTTTTGCTATGTTTAGGGTCTTTTCACACAATGGTGCTAAGCTTTTAAGACACTTTTGCAGAGTTAGATTTTTATTGTGTCATGTTCCTACTTTATCAAAGATCCTGACACCTCTAAGTGAGTCATCAGATACCAAGAAATGTTGTATATGTTGGTTTTCACAGCTGAAATTACCGTCCACGTTTTTTTTTTCCAACAGAAAACTTTAAGATCAAACAGACACAGTTTTGTTCGGTGGCTTTATGTTGTAATAAAGTTTTGTAGAACAGAGCCAAGAATAAATCAGTCTATTTTACTCTCACTCTGTGTTGACTTTGTTTCATGTCGAACCCCTATTGCTGCTCTGTCTCTGTAGCAAATTAGCTCCAACTGAAGATAACAATAGAGCATCTTTGACAAACAAAAGACTTTAAAAAATTACCTACAGTTCAAATTTCGAAGAAAGGTACTGCCTAAATCACTCTAAAACCAAAGTGTTTAATGAACTGCTAACTGGTACCAATGCCTGATGTCTGGGATTTACTTAAAACAATCTTTGCAAGTGGTACTACAAATAATGAATATTTAGGCATCGCCATATTGGAATCCTAACCTCTGGTGTGACGTCATTCCTAGAGTTTCAACTTCCGAGGTAAATAGAAGATTGAGGTGAGGAGCGGCTACAGGAATTCTGACTTTCCAAGTGGGAGAAGGTGACAAAAAAATGGAGGTTAATTTTTTGTTTATATTCTCTAACAAGACAAATTAACAGTTAATACTGTTTTGTAGCTTTTAACTGGATTAAAACGAGGCAATAATTTCGCTCTCTTTAAGCTAGCTTGAATCTTGATCAACTCGACGGTCTAGCTTTTCGGCGGCCATATTTGTTCCCAGCAACCGACTTAATTTCGCATCAATGAGTATTTAAAATAAGTTGGATATGATAGAAAGAAATTGCTAAAGGTAAGTTTTAGTTGTGTGTGTAAATCAGAAGTGACTTTAAAGACTTGTAAAAACATGAAAATGCGCATATGCACTTGGTAAACCAGGAGCAGGTTTCATGCTTCTTTTGCATAAAATGACCCTTTAAAATGAGTAAAGAAATTTTGTTTACTGAAAAATGATGTACTTATAGTTTGTGCTATTTAGCTATATGTGCTCCGATAATTTCCGAGTTTATTTGGATATAAAAAAAATGTTCTTTTAAGAGTTGCATGGACGGATTTTGCCACCAGATGGCAGCGTTGGGCCATGTTTGATGAAATGGTATTTTACAGAAAGAGCAATGACGCTGTGGCATAGAATTTCGATTCATCTTAATTTATTGCAAATATTTTAGCCTCTACATGTGAAAAACTGGTAAAGACCTTGTTCAAAAAGGCATGCCTCCATTTCTAAATTATTCTCCTCTTTGTATTGGTCTAGCTCATAAAAATCCCATTAAAATGCACCAGGGTTTGTTGTGTGATTCGGCTCAGACCACCTTAAATAAATAAAAGAGAGGTCCATTTTTATCGGACTTGCTTAAGAAATAAAAGAACACTAGGACTCCATTTGTGAAGCCTTTAACAGGCTCATTTAACCAATGAAAAGGTTTGGTGTCCGTCCTTTAGGCCATAGAGCTGATAACTTACCTCCAGATGTTGGGATTGGTGGAGTGTACTCAGACCTATGACCCTGGGGTCAGAAGGTCACAGAGGAGTGAACAGTGGCTAGTCTTTAAGGGCTTTGCTTTCTACAGACGCGTGGCTCACTAATTGGGGGTCCACCTCCTCACACCCCAAGTGTGAAGCGGTCAATACCAGAAAATGACTGGTGGTGTGAGCTGGAGATACTGGGACTCAGAAATAAGAGATGTGTATTTCATTGGAGCTGTTTATTTTAATCTTTAAGATAGGATAGAGTAATTCTGATTCATCGAATGATTTCAGTAATTAATACCATAATCCTTTCTTTAAAATGTTTGATAGACTATTTCTAGTAAAGTGAATATAACTTCATTTCATTGGGAATATAAGTATGAATATAAATCCCCACTTCCTTGTTCATCTAATGAGAGTAGATCAAATCAGATCCTGTTGTTCTATTTCAGGGCAAATTTCCTGTTTATAGATTAAGGGTTGAAGTTCTTTGTTGGGAACAGAAGATATTCTCTGAATTTACCAATACTAGTTGTAAAAACTAACTACCTAGTTCCTACCCGCCTGCAAAAGGAAAACACAAAAGGCCCTAGAAGAGGTTGGAAAGGCGTGCCAAGCTGGCTGGGAACCTCAGCAACCAGCGTTACCCACAACCCTTCACCCCCACGTTGCTGCCCGCTGGAACACAAACAACCTTTGTTGCTTCTCTCATTTGTGAATTCCAGTTTTGGGAGGGAAAATGTGTTTTGTTTTGTGTGTGTGTGTGTGTGTGTGTGGGGGTGTGTGTGTGTGTGTGTGTGTGTTTGTAGTAAGTATTTGCAGCATCCCTCTTCCTCTAGTTTTGACACAACTATAAACTAAGGTTTACACTCGATGAAAAGCATCGAGTTCATTGGGAGAAATGTAGACTTTTGCTTGTATAAGGTTCCTTTAAGGGTTACATATTTCATAATTATTATTTTTTGACACCTTGAGCTTCAATTTGTATAGAAAATTGCTCTGACATTTGTGAAAATACTGTCTAATAACCATGTCTAAGGTCTATTTAAATTATGTACCTAATTACATGTTTTGTTTTAAATTCACAGATTCTGGTTAGTACTTTTTAGACTCTGTTGCCACTTTATAAAATCAGCCAAGCTGCAGGTCAACTACTTAAAAATCTGATTCCTTTCCTGTACATTAAATGCATCATAATGGAAAACTTCTTCTGTAGTATATTGAATTATTTCACATTTTTTAGAAGAAAAATCAGATAAAAGTAAAGTGTACATGCTGGTTTCTCTCTTGATGTCTGTTTCTAAAAGCGGGACAGATTATTAGAAACATAAATGGATAGAAACATCATTTATTGTCCTGTAAAGTGAAATTTATTTTATGTTGGCGTCTTTCTTTATTGAAGAAAAAACATTTTTAAACTTGAGCTCGTTCAGAAAAGTCTGGTAATTTTCTTTATTTAATTAGCTTTTTTATTTTTTTTTTAACTGCTGCTACAAGAGTGTTGATCTAATAATTTTAAAACAAATCAAATGTAAGTTTTGGCATGAAAGCATTTGAAACATTTAGTTTTTTGCTGATTTAATCCGCGCTCGGATGCGTCTCCCCTGTAGCTGCGGAGCCACACATGTCCAGCAGGGGGCAGTCTGGACTGGAGGTCCAGATCCGATTCAGATCTTTTCGGATTTCAGGCATTTCTGTTCTCCAAACTCCAAACTATTTCCTATTAATGTATTTTGATATTAAACTACAACTAAATGTTGATATTGAGTAAAATTGTTCTATGAGTAAAGCTGCATTGTGACATCAAAATCTTGTTTATCAGGTAGATTTAAACTGAAAGGTGAAGCTTGGATTGTTAAATTGAAAATTATGTGTAAAAATGTACATTTTAGAGCCATTTCTCCGTCATTCAACTGGAACATCATCATTTATCTCATTCATGTTCATATTTTCTGCCTATTTTGAGCAACAAGGACAGAAAGTCATTTGTTTCTACCAGTTAAGCAGACGTGTCTGTCAAGCTGATTTAAATAAACTCTGTTCTGACCATGTTAGAATCACCACCGAGTGTGTGTGTTTTCTTAATGTGCTGCTGCGATGCATTAACATGTGAAAGCATGGAGTTCCTGTGAACTTATTTGACCTCTGACCTCTCCTCTGTGTCTCAGATAACAAATAGCTGCAGCTGAGGCGGAGGCTTACTGGTCGGTTCTCACCCACAGACTCCAGACTGGGACATGTCTGCTCAGAAGCATCTCTGAGTGGGTAAGAATAAGTGATTATTTTAAGTGATTCTGACTTGTTTTGATCGTTAATGACTTCTTCAGACACACTCGGTGTTGTTTAAGCACCAGCTCTGAAAAGAAAGAAACCCCTCTGTCAGTTCTCAGGTTTTAACATATATGGTGATTTGCAAAAGTATTCTTACATCTTGTTGTGTTACAAACATAACTATTGCTACATTTGACTGGGATTCTGTGTGACAGACCCATAAACAGAAGGTCATAATTCTGAAATGTGATGTTTTCTGAGCTTTATGGACGAAGAAAGACGTCCAGAGGAAGTCCTCTCTGCAGTGGGTACAGCAAAGATTTGGAAGAAGATGTAATGAAGGGTGTTTTCACCTTAAGGCCCGGTTGCAGCTAATGTGGTTCACTTTCACACTCCACTGAATCAAATGATCCAACCCCTTTGGAAAAGCAGTTCCCCTCCTTGCCTGTGGTGGCGCTGCACCAAGAACTACTGAATGAAACAACAGAAAAAACGTCTGATGAAAACACTGAGCACAACTTCCTTCTTCATGAGATGAAAACAAAAATGGAGTGGCGTCAAGTCTTAGTGGTTGTAGGATTTCTCTTTTGTTTTTGGCTAAAAGCAACAACCTATTTTTCCAGCTAACGCGTTTCTTTTGCTTGTATTTATCCAGAATGCTCTGTGCTGACCCAGGTTTTTAGGTGGACCCGAGTTCCCTGTTTTGGTTCATTTTCTTCTGTGATGGAATATATGAGTATTTCAATATTACCTAAGTATTCATTTGTCTCGCAGTTCTGCTAATCAATCATTATGTTTTAGCAAAACTGAAATAAGAGCTAAAAATAGTTTAATCTTACTACCAACTTCACATCATCTGTAGATTTGTTTTTCTCTTTGTGACATATGATTACTAGTTATTCTAGTGATTAGTTTGACTATTCATCGGATAAAAATTGGCACATTTCTCTGATTTTTAAGCTTTTTTTATACAATACTAGAAACACATTTTAAAATACAAATAAACAAATAATCCAATTAACTTTTTTTAAAAAGAAAATAAAAATTTAATTGCCTAAAATGCAATAGCATTCATAGGCTTGATGATTTGTAGTAATAGATGGATCTGCAGCTAAAAATATTTTCACCATCAACATGTGAAAACCTCAGCCATTTCTGGTTGCATCAATACAGTGTAGTGCTGATGTGTTGATTATTTTTGGATTAACTAATTAGTAGCTGCACAGAATTTTGTCTTACAAAACAAAGAGCTAAAACTATGGCACGTTAAGGTAGATTTTATTGAAGTCTCGAAGTCCAAATCCCATTTAGAAGAACAAGAGAAACAATCAATAAAATAAGAGAATAAAAAAGTACATAAAAATCCCCTAACCGTTCAGGAGGCAGTCATACCAAAGTACAGATGAGTGTCTTACTATATTTAACGTTAGTCAACAGTAGAGAGATTCTACTATTAGACTTGTTTAAATGGCAAATAAATTTATACATAATCTTTCTTAAAGCAGCCATTAAAGAGCTGAAACGAGCAGATACTAACAGTTCACCGGCACCGGCCCATCTTGCCTGCATCGTTATAAGCCACCTTCAACCTCTGAAGACTGGCTTCATTAAAAATGCATGACAAATTATTATTATTTTTTTTTATCTTAAATGCAAAATTATAGATTTTTTTTGTACAGTTTTGGCTTAATTATTGTTCTAACTATGTTGCTCTTTTGAGTCTGCATACTATGGTTATTGATTAACTGATTACTAAATTAGTTGATGGTTACTTTAATAATCTGATTAATATTCTCAGTCCTAATCTTGCGCCAGTTGCCATCATCTTCACCCAGTGAAAAGCTTTTACCCCGTTCAGATGTTCCAGGTAGTGAGTGTCAACGATTCTTCTTTTTTTAAAATTTGTTTAAAAAAGAAAACTGTCCCAGACAGGCAGACATTCCTGCACACAGCCAGAACGCAGACATGTTCACAGGTTCTCACAGCCCAGACACACACACACACACACACACACACGCTCACACACCCTCAGTGTGACGCAGACGATCTGAAGGGCCTCATCGCGCCTGCCTTTCTCTGCCTGTCTGATCCGTCTGACCCGGCCCTTTTATACATCTAATTAAGCAGTCAGACCCTCCACCATGCCATGACAAACTCATGGCTGATTTCTCACCATGTTTTGTGCCTGTGTCTTAGTCTGGATGGATCTGTTATTTATCGTAATCTGACGCATTGTTTTCCCATCGAGCGGTGTGTGTGTGTGTGCGTGTGCGCGTGTGTGTGTGTGTGTGTGTGTGTGTGAGAGACAGGGAGAGAGAGAGGGAATAATTCAGAAAATGTTCAATAGGAGCCACCAGACACTTTCAGTGGAGGGTGAATGACTTTAGTCTGAATTTCAGACGGTGCTGAATATTGAGGCAGCAGCTTCCCATGCAGCGTCTGCAGCACAAAAAAACATGGAGTCTGTTGTTCCAGCGTTAGCCTGGTTAGCACGCGCCTAATCGCAGACCTCCACGGTCCACTGGGGACGGCGACACGCTCCGACCTCCTGTCTGGATGTCCGAGGACGCCGCTCCCAGCTGAGACCTGACCTCTGACCTCCCATCAAAAAAACGGCAGAGAGGTTAAACTCAGCAAACCAGCAAGTCAACAGGCTCTTTATCAGGACATGACCTCTTCGTCCCTGTGGAGAAGTTAGGAAATGCCAGGAAAGAAAACGGGTTTTTCTTTCTCTGGTTCTTCAGTTGCTGACATGATTTTAAAAAATAGACTGAAAAATTTACAATTAATTTAGATTTTCTGAGTCAAGTTTTTTTTTTTTTTTTAATTTCCAGCAGAAATCTTTCTCTCCTTCTTTCTTTCGTTCTTTCTTGATATTTTCTCTGGTTTTTACTTGGTTTATTTCTTTCTGTTGTTTTATCAATCTTTTTTGCTCTTGCTTTGTTTCTTTGTTCTTTCTTTGTTTCTTTCTCCTTTTTTGCTTTATTTCATTATTCCTCTTTCTCAGTTTGTTTTTTCCTTTTCTCGGTTTTTCTTTTCTATTTCCTTGTTTGGCTGTCTTCTACCCTTCTTTTTTCTTTCTTTCTTGCTATTTTCTGCCTTTCATGCTGGGTTTATTTCTTTCTCTCCTTATATTTTCCATCTTTCTTGCTCTTGCTTTGTTTCTTTCTCATTTTTTCTTTCTTTTTTCCTTGTTTCTCTTTTCTTGCTTTATTTAATGATTTCTCTTTTCCTTTTCTATTTCTCTTCTATTTGCTTGATTTTTTTTTCTTTTACCACTTTGTTTTTACTTTCTTCTTCTCTTTCTCTCTATTTCTTTTTGTTTCATCTTGTTTCTTTCTTTTCTTCTGTCGTTCTCTGTTTTTCTTCTTTTTTCTCTCTCTCTCTAAATATTTATAAAAGAGTATTTCTCACCTTTCAGGTTCTGTTGTGGATTTTAGTCACATTTAGATGCTTATTATTATGGCTCTTTTTATATCATAAATTAACGGCGATCAAACAAACTTTTGAGCATCACTTTTATTAGCCACACAAAGTAAAGATTTGCATTGGAAAAAATAAATCACTAAAATAGAACCTGCTGAGCAACATGAAGTAGGCTAAAGCATCTAAAACTAGCAACATTGAAGATGAGAAATAAAGTCACTCATACTTTAAATCACAGGATCATTATGAAGATAATTTTTAGTGGAAACTTTTTAAAATACCTGAAAATTGATAACAGGCTCATGCCTTTTGTCAGTCTGTATTGTCCACATAGTTTTCATATGAACACCTGCTGATTTTCATATATATTTTTTTAGCTTTTTTCATCCTTTCTGCCACAATGCTTCCCCCATATTAGCAGAAATTAGTCGTGTTAAATCAGGAGGGTGTGTCGGCACATAAAGCTAACAGCAGGATTTCACAGGTGTCTTTATGGGAAATCCCAGTGGCCTGGCAGGAAGCACAGCCACAATCAAAGGGTTCAAAGGTCAAACAACTTGTGGATTTAAAAGACTATCAGTGAGAGTCACAGAGAGAACCCTCCTCCATTCACCACAGTCTTTGGAGAGAGGTCATGAGCAGGGAGATGTGACCTTTGTCCAGCTGCCCTGGGGTCACATTTCTTTATGTTGCACTTAATTTTTGACCTCGGACATGTTGAGGCTCTTTATTAACTGCACATTATGTTTGGAAGGGATGTTCATTTAAATAAAATGTTTAGATCTGTGGACAGTTTTACTATAAATACTGATGATTTCAGACATTTAAAATAAAAAGAAATCAAGTTATATCTCTTTTATGCATTATTTCTTAAATCAACTTATTATTGTAAAATGTTCTTACTAATAGCCAGAAGAGGCATAAAACAATTATTCAGATGCTTATCTGAACAGTTTTGTTTGCTAGATTTTAATTACAATATCATTCATTTACAAAAGATTTCTTAGTTTATATTTCTAAGTCAATAAGACCAAAATCTTTTCCTTTTTATGAACTCAAAAATGTATAAAAATGTATTATATTTTCTTATGAAGTGTTTTGAATTGACTTATTGTACAGCATTTTTTCAACTCATTCAAATTGTTCCACAGTTTTACTCCTTGCACTAAAATGGTACGCACGCTTTTTCTCTGGAAATCGTACTTTCTTGTTTCTATTGGCAATAATATCTTTCTAGCTTTAACAAACTGGACCAAAACCCAGATATCAGTCACTACATGGAAAAGTGATCAACAGTAAAATAGTTATGAGACGTTTTGTTTTTGTCCCATAAAGAGTCGGTAGGAAAAAAAACAACAAAAACCTCTGAAATTAAAATAAAACGGCTCAAATTGTTTCAATCTGGCAGCAACATAAATGTTTTAATGAATTTTAGCTCAGATAAGAACTTTTCTGAATAAACATTTGATACAAATTCATCTGAATCGTTTCTAAGGAAAGTGAGCAACAGTGTTTTTATCAAACAGAAATATCAAAATTCCCTTTGCCTAAAGCTTTCTAGTATCTAAATTTAAAAAAGTAATTCCAAACATTTTTTCAGTTAATAAGTGCTAAAATGAGTAAATTAGTTAAGTTATCTGAATCTAACTCAAGTATTTTTCTTTAATTTTTAGCTAATTTTGATCAGTAGTCTGCTAAGGTTGAGCATTTATTGTGTTATCATTTATTGATAAGAATTTTGATTTGTTATTGTCACAATAAATTCCAACTAATGACTTAAAAAAAAAAACTAAACTGTCTATATTGTCAAAATTGTTATTCTTAATATTTACTCCATAGTTTGTCCAATGAGAGTATGAGTAAATATTCAGAAGAAATAAAAAAAAATCTAATTCTAAAATACTTTATTAATCCCAAATATCAATAAATTTTAAATTATGATTCAATGTACAGTTTAGTGATACAAATCATACTTTTTTATGTGACTGGTGTACTACAGAAGCATATTATAAATTTATATTTTGGCGTCACTTCTTATAGTGTTTTAAAATTAGTATTTATGTTTGTTATGCTCTGAACGATGCTCCATGCAGTCACAACCATATATTTATCCACAAAATAAGTAATAAATAGTTACTGTCACACTTTATGACAATACTATCACAAAATATCGTGATGAAACTTTAAGTCCTTATCACCCACTTCTAGTCGGTACCTTTAAAAATGACCATTTGCAGTTAATTAGTTTGCTAAAGTTTATTTTTTTGTGCCACACACCAAAAAAGGAGCCAATCCTCCATTCACACAGAAACAAACACCTTTCAAACATAAAGTGTCGTCTTTTTGAAACATTCTGAGTAACTGAAATACTTAGATAAATACTGTAGGTTATCTGTAAAATAAATCTGGGTAAACATCAGGGACTGTACCAAACAAAAAGTGCATTTTATTTTCAGTTTCATTTAAAACACAGGAAACATTTTCAGTTTCCTTCTGGGACTGAATTAAACTGTTTCTAAAGCTAAAAGCAAAGAAAGAACCAGATCTGGGCTGACCTCTGGTTTTTTATTTCATGTCACGTAAAAACACATGAAATATTTGTGTTTCTGACTAAACTTTGCCCTCGCTTAGTTCCAGGATTTCTCTGCAGCTGTTTTATCTTCATCACGAGGATTTGCAGTTGAACTTGAACCCAGTTCCCGCTCTCCCCTCGCGCTGCCTGATTTCACACCGTCCGCCCCTCCCCGCCGCAGCACCATGCCCGTCTTTGTGAAGCTGTCTTCCTTGACTTTTTGCATCCCCCGTCTGGCCTGGCGCAACCTCTCCCTTTTACCGCCGCCACCTCCTTCCCCCCTCCGTTCAGCCATTCTTCACTTCTGGGGCCGGGAGGGGCTCCGGGAGACGGCCTGCGGGGACTCGCAATACAGAATGCTAATCATCCCCTCGGCGACACTTCCCACGATTTTCCTCTCAGACGTGGGCTTTTGTTTCGTTATTGATTCTATCGCAATCAGACAGTTCCCGCAACTTTCCTGCCGTCTGGGGCCGGATCCGTAACGCCGCTCGGAGTGCGAGACGCACTGTTCAGATGGCGCTCTTTTTAACGACCTCTGGCATTGTCTCTATTAAACAACAGCTGTAATTATATCTGTTCAAACCTTTTGTTACTTGGGCCAAAATTGTCGACTCAAAAGTAAAACTCATATCAAGCAAATTAAGTATTCCTACTTTTTTGTGAAATGGATGTTGTTCTTTTTTCTTTACTTTCTTTAATGCATTTATCTGCAATTGTCATTGCTGTCTGCTAGACAAATTTCCCCTTAAGGACAATAAAGTTGATCTAATCTAGTCACTGTAGTTCCAAAACTTAAAAATGCATTTTGTACATTTGCTGTACTAAAATGTAGTTTTCAGTTTCTTTTTTAGGTAATAAGAGCAGAATTTGAGTCACTGTCTTTCAAAACAGTTGCTATATTTAGTTTAAGAAGTTAAAAGCTGATCTGGGTGCAGCGAAGTCGGCTTTTTGGTGAAAGCCTGGATAAATGTGGTTCTACTAATTGTAAAGGTTTGGCTATAAAAGTAACCAAGTTACTCAGTTTAATCCTTAAATCAAACTTTTTGTCCCGTGAGCCAAAATTTTCGAGTCAAAGACCAAAAAAAAAAAGAAAAAGATAAACTTAAATAGAAGAAAAAGTACTGATTTTTTTTTTATGAAATGGCTGTTATTCATTATAGATCCAAAGTTTTTAAAAAGCATTTTGCACTTTTGCTTTTATCAAAATAAGGGCATCAAGTTTTCAATTTCTTTTGGGCTTGATTTAGCCTTTCGTACAAGATTTGAGTCACTTTATTTCAAAATACTTGCTACATTTAGCCAATTTTAACAAAAATATGAAAAAATAAAAGATGATCCAGGTGCAGCAAAGTCGGGTTTTCTAAAAAAAAGTCTCTGGATCAACAAAAGCTCGGTTATTCAGCTCTGGAAAAATGAAGAGTCCACTGCACTGAACCCCATTGAAAACCTCCTGGTTATTCCACCAAATACTGATTCCTGAACTGAGTTAAAACATCAGTATTGTTGTTTTTAAATGAATATAAACTTTTCTTTGCATTATTTGAGGTCTGAAAGCTCTGCATCTGTTTAATTATTTTAACCATTTCTCATTTTATGCAAATGCTAAATATTTGCTTGGAATTTCAAATACATGTTGTCAGAAATTCATAGAATAAAAGAACAATGTTCATTTATAACATTTTACTATAAAGAGTAAAATCAGAGAAACTGATCATTTTAAGTGGTCTCTTATTTTCTTCCAGAGCTGTAAAGAGATGAATCTTTTGTGTTTGACTTCACTTTTTTCATGTAAGATATTTAATTTGGTAGTAGTTTTACCCTGATTACAAATAATACCTCTGTTTGCATCACTTGTGAAGGACAAATTTGAACCACGTTTGAATTGCAGTTGGTGGCCGCACAAATTCAGTCCGTGGGCCACAAATGGCCCCTGAGCCGCATTTTTGACACCCACGTCTTAAATGTTGAGTCAGTGGGAGTGTGAAAGGCATTTCCCATTCCTTATCCTGATCAGTTTCTGTAAAGTTTAACCTAGATTCAGTTATTTTTATGTTCAAATCTTTTATCCAGTGACTGTTTGCATCCATCTGGGAAACTTTTTCCTGTAATCTTCTACCTGTTTTAGCTACTTTTATTCTGCCAATGTCTCTTTAAAGCCACATTGTACTGTATTCTTGAGAGAAATGATTGAGTTGACATTTCCTCCTGTGACGTCTGCTCTTTATTTTAGTGCCTTTTAATTTAAATGTGCCCATTAATTAAGGTATAGAATCAGAACCTGCTGAAGGCGCTAAAGGTCAGCCAGTCCAGCACATGTGCTCGCAATAATTGAAACACAAGTCTGTTTTATCATACTGATTGTAATTTCTAATTATATATACCAGGTTTTTTATGAAAAAGGGTATCATTAAACTTGCAGAATTGATCAGTTTGTACTTACAAATAAGGTGAATTTAGAGAAAGTAGAAAATAATTTAAGGAAATAAATTTATATGGAAACTATAGCATCATTATTCTGTTAAAAATTAAAATGATTTACAAACTGATTACCCTTTGAATCCAAAATAGTTTATTGTAAAGGGAGTGAAAATGCTCATGATTAACTGCAGGGGTGTCCAAAGTGCGGCTCGGGGGCCATTTGTGGCCCTTGGACTGAATTTGTGCGGCCCCAGCTCCAGTTTAAGGATGATCCAAATTATGTAGATGGAGACTTTTTATTTTTAATCAGGGTAAATTTACTACCAACATAATTTACTTATAGTTGAAAATGTTAAGTACAACACAAAGTATTTGTCTTTTACCAAACGTTTACAACGAGACTTTTACTGTAAAGTCAACTTTGCTGCACTCAAACCAGCTTTTATTTTATTAATAATGAAAACTAGATGCTTTACTGTTAATACACCAAATGTTCAAAATCCTTCTGCAATGAAAAACATTACTTTCTTACAAAAAAACAAACTAAACAAAAATATCAGACCTTTACTAACTTTATTTTAGTTTTCTTTTTATCTTCTTCTGAAGTTAGATTGTTTTAGTTTATTTCTGTCCAAAGTGTCCCCCGCCTCTCATCCACCATCAGGCTGCAGCTTTAGCTTTTGCTAACAGCAAAAAAAAAAAAAAAAAAAAAAACAGGATTTTTTTTTTTTTTTGTCTCATAAGATGAAGATATGACTGTCTAAAAGGGGGATTATGTTTGTGATGCTCAGCCTGAACTTTGACCCCGGAGTGTTTGTGATCACGCTTCCAGATGTTTTTAAAAGCAGTGCTGCAGCAGCTGGATCCACTGGGCTGCACGTCGTTTCCAGCAGCTGCGGCACAAAACTTCACCCAGACGTGATTTTAAAATCTGCGTTCTGTAATTAGTGTCTGTGTTTAGCATTCAACGTGTTGTACAAACATTTAGCACACGACTGTTTCCATGTCCCTGCAGTTTATACGATGGATTTTCTTGTTTCCTGTCTGTTAGCTACATTGATGCTAACCGTGAGTTTCCCTAAACGGATTCACCCTTAAACTTACTGAAGGGTTTATGATGCCATATTTCTTCTTGTTCAGCTTCCTGTTGTAGGTTTTCTGCTCTGGTTGACGTCGTTGTTGTGTTGCTGACCCAGTTTGGGCCAGAGATGATCTGTTGGACGGATGACTTCACATTCGACTGTAGATCATGTTGGTGAATAACTGTGAGGTGTATTTCTCCTCCACTGCCATGCTAGACGTTAGTTCTCAGACTTTCTGCTTGTTTTAAATCAGAAGTGACTGGGTGCATTGTGGCTAAACATCAACACCAGGGGCGTCCAATGTGAGGCCCTTAATCAGAAATGTAAGAATAGTCTAAACTAGTAGTTGTCCATTTCGAGGAAAACAATATAAGACAGACAATATAACACGTCCAAAAGAAAAATGTACGGTAGAACACAAGTTTTCTCTTTTAATTAGATTTATTTCATTTGTAAAAACAGTTTTGCTAAAATGCAGACTTACCATTTCATAAACTTTCCAAAGTAAAGCGATAGTGAGCCAAAAACACAAAAATAATGTTGAAAACAACTGCTTGTTATTATTTTAATCTGCTAACCTTTAAAAACCTTTAAAACATTTTTATGTTTTGCAATAATTTGTTGAAGGCTAAATTATGCTGCTGCTATCATTTTTAGTTTCAGGTAAAAATGAAAACATAAAATACTTTTTGCAAAAACAGGAATACTAAAACGTTTCTGGCCCCTGGAGTTGTTTCATCATGCCAGAAGGTTTTGGACCCCTCTGACCTCCAGTCTGGCCTCATCTTTCCAAAATGATTCAAAAGACCTCCTAAACCCAGAACATCATCGGTTTTCAGAGACAAAACGTTTTCTCTCGTTCGTCCTTCCAGTTTTTCTAATTGTCGCCGTGATCTGCAACATTTCTCATGGTAACTGTACCGTATGCGCTGCAGCTCTTGAGGATTTTTTACAATTATTTTGAGGACTGAATGGTCTGACTTTAGGGTTCACATTAGAAACAGTTTTAAACGTTTTCCACTTGTGAATAATTATCTCTATTTTGAAACTATTGATTTTTTTGTGCACACAGTTCTGTATAAGTCAAGGTTTCCCCTAGAAAACCTGCTAACCCCGGTGGTTGGGAACTCGGCAGTCATTCATCCAGCAGCTTGTTGTGTTTTTGAGTTAAAAAATTGTAAAAAAAATAAATAAATAAATAAATAAATAAATAAATAAATAAATAAAAAAAATGCAAACATTTTAAAAAGACTTAAATAAATAAGCAAGGCTAAGCCTGATGGAGGCACAAGTAAATCCTGGTGGCCCGCCAGGCTTATTATACGCTGTGGGAAACCCTGGAAGTGACCTCACAACTATTCCTAGATTGATGGGCAGCAACAATTGCTGCTCTATGATCACTGTTCCTGTTGTTTTTTTCCTCCCAGCAGTAAACTGTGGAAATTCCCACTTTTATCTGAGAGCTCCCACTAATCCTGACCAAGCAATCAATTGTATTCGATCTTCATCTGGCTTAAATCATCTGGAAGCAACAAAGATGTGACTTTATTTCCTCAAAAACTAATGGAATCTGTTGCTTTTGTTCTCTGGAGATTGTTTTATTTACCCGTAACCTTTCATTGATAAATCTAAAACCACTTTTGAAGTGTTGATTGCTACTAGAATAAAAAAAAAAACATCCATGCAGGATCTTCTTCCTGCATGTGCTAAAATGTGGCACCATGCAGTCATTTAAGTCAACTGAATTTGCCTTAATTACACTTGTGGTTCATTAGAAACAATGATTTTGATTGTTGAACTTTGAACAAAATTGATCAATTCCTTATAATTAAATACTGATTGTCTTGAACCCTGAGATGAGATTTTGATTATTTAGACTCGTCTCTAAATAAACCAAACTTTACTGATCAAAAGTGATGATACACATACAAACTTCACACAGGAGCCGATGAATGTCTTATTGTAAACATCAATACTTTTATTGATTTACATTAGAAACCGCTGCATAGGACAGTTCAGGATATGTGCAAACTCAACTTCTAAAATTGCTAAGAGGGAATTATTAATAGTGCAATATTGTGTAATTATTAGTGCCTTTAAACAGTTTTTTCTGATTAAAATCAGTTGCACGTGTTCACATTACAACAAAATGAGACTTTTTTAACATTTTGAATCAGTAATTTATACATATTTGTGGAACAAAAACTCATGTTTAATTTTCATTTTTCTACATTGCATTGTGCTCATATAGTGCAAATCAAGCCTGAACATCTAACCTTTTTAGTGCAAATCTAACTGATCTGTGCAAATTATTTTCAATAACACATACTACAAAAAAATATTGTATTTTCTTTTCCTTGCATAGACAAAGTTTCTTTATGTAGCTCTGATTGCATGCACACAAAGTCCCTGCAGAGTAAGCGTGCAACATAAAGTCTTACGATACAGATGCACATTAAACATTTACACTTTTAAACATCTAAAACAAAACCTTTCTGCAAACTGCTTCAATTAGTGCAAAATTTCAAGAAACAAATGCTACATTCTCAGTCAGAAATAATAATAAATTTTTATCCTGAGTAAATAAAGTAAATGTAACAAGTTTGACATAAAATCAGAGATGACTGCTGAGAGTCCTAAGATTGTCAACAAACTGAAACATTCAGATTCACACGGGACAAATATTTATCACCAAGTATAAGACTTAAACGCTAAGGAAACTAAAGAAATTAAGATAAAGATGAAAAAAAGTTATTCCTAAAATAAAACAGATCTAAAACTTGACTACTTAAAATCACTAATTTTGTCAATTTCAGATTTTTTTAACATAAAAATACATAAGTATGACCAACATCTCAGCTGAATTGTTTTGTTTGCGAGAGAGATGCTGATCTGAGCTCTGACCTACATTAAAATCTAGTCCAGATGTTTCCTGAACATCTGTGCAGGGCGGCTTCCCAGAATCCATTACTCTGTCCTTTGTATCGTTTGACTTATCCAACATGTCGAACGGTCGGTGTTTTCTGCATCCAACCGAACGATGTGAGCTGATTTATATCAGGTTGTTTTGTTTGAGATCTTTTCTTCAGCTTCAGTCGTTGAGCAGTTTGTTGTAAAACTCCTCTGGATTAGAAACCTTAGGGGAGGAAATAAAAGGATTAAAAACGTTAAAAGCTGTCAGCCAATAAGATTTCAGTAAATCCCATTTTGTGCATCCTTCTGAAAAGTGATGCATCATCAAATGTTTTAATTTTTATCATGTAAAACCCCAGAAAAACTAAAGGAAGTGCATTATATTCTCTATAGAGGTATTATTCATCAGAATCGGGCAGTTCCTCTGCACGATGCGCAAAAGACACAAATCGTAGGAATGTTTCTTCAACTCGAGGTGAGGTGCTTTTTTTTATGTTGTTACTGCAATACGTTGAATTAAGTTAGCTGCCTTTGCTCGCTTATAAAAATGCTAACCCACAGCATTATGCTGCCACCACCATGTTTCACTGTGGGGATGATTTGTTCAGGGTGATATGAAATACAGCTCTGGAAAACGTAAGAACCCACTGCACTGAACCACATTAAAAACCTCCTGTTATTCAACCAAATGTTGATTTCTGACTCTTCCTGAGTTAGTATTGTTGTTTCTAAATGAACATCGACTTGTTGTCATTGCATGATTTGAGGTCTGATAGCACTGCATGTTTTTATTTTCTGCAAATAAATACTAAATTTCTGCTTGTAATTTCAGAGATCTGTTGTCAATAGTTTATAGAATAAAAGAACAATGTTCATTTTACTCAAACATAAATGTATAAAAAGTTAAATCAGAGAAACTGATCATTTAAGTGGTCTCTTATTTCCAGAGCTGTATATATAGGGCTGAAAAAATTAATCAGATTAATTGTGGTGAATCAATTATTGAAATGATTGTCAACTAATGTATTAATTGTTTACTGTTGTATGCGGACTCTGATAAAGGCCATTTGCTGAAAGAACAACAAATTCAGAGCAATAATTAAGTCAAAACTGGACAAAATCTATACATTTTGTAGTTAAGATGAAAAAAAATATTTTCTACCCAGAACTCCTCAAGCGGCTTCAAATGCTTTAAAATAATTTCCTAGTAAGTACATTTTGCAATTATTCACGGTTTAATCCAAGAAATAGTCAACAGATTATCTCTACTGCAAAAACACATCTTACCAAGTATTTTTAATCTCATTTCTTCTGCAAATAACTTGAATGAAGACAAAACTAATTTAATTTAAAAGTAACTTAGCACCAAGATATAGACGCTTGTTTTAAGTAAATAATTCCTTAATATTGGTGAAAAAGTTCCTTTTCCATTGGCAGATTATTCCACTTGTATGGGGAAAATGTCATGTTTTAAGTAAATCTACCTGCCAGTGGAGCAATAACTTTTTCATCAATATTAAGGAATTATTGACTTAAAACAATCTTCTATATCTTCTACAGGTTAGTTTTGACTAGTTTTAAGTGTAAAAAGATAGTTGCACTAGAAGCAAAACTAAAAGTACTTGGTAAGACTGTGTGTTTTTGCAGTACTCTGTCAATGCAGGGTTTCCCACAGTGTATTATAAGCCTGGCAGGTCACCAGGCTTTACTTGTGCCCCCACCAGGCTTAGCATTGCTTATTTATTTTAGTTTTTTTTTGTTGTTTTTTTAAATCATTGCCCTTTTTTAAGATTGTATAGTTGATGTTTAGGTATTAATCCTGAAGTCTTCCAAAAATGCTCAACTATCAAGTGACATTTTTAAATTTCCTGTCAACTTTAAACATTTTAACTCAAAAACATGGTAGACGGCTTGAGCACCGGGCTTGGGACATTTTCTGAAATAAACCCTGCAATGTTACTCAACAAGCAATTCAACTTAAAATATATTTGTTGTTGAATTACTAAAAGTAAAACTTGCTCAGGGGTTGAATCATGGTTATTGGAATCAATCCTTCCCCTGGAAACAGAAAGACTTGGCAGCTGTCTTGATTTAGCACTGGTTTGGTCTGGAGTGTCTGCATAGTTGTGTAAAAATCCAAGTTCTTTAGATACAAAAATTGTCCAAACACACAGCCGGATTGTGTTTAGTCTTAATTTATCACTGAAGCTCATGTCAGTGTTCGATATGCAGCCTCGTAATAATGTGAATGCCCTCAGTCAAGACGAGGTGAAATATGCCCCTGCCACCCCCAAAAACAACCAAACTCCACAGCAGCCAGTCTAGACGCAAGCTGCTCTTCAAATCATCACTCCTCCTCCTCCCTCATCCCGCCATCATTGTCTGAGCCCCCAAAGTGTTTTTTTCCCACGCTTTATTTTTCTCTGTCCTGTTTGCAGCCGAGGAGGAGGACGAGGAAGAGGAGAGGGGGGTGATGGGGTGGCCATGGAAACCCCACATTGGTGTTTCCCCTGATTGGAGTATGCAGTGACTAATTATTCAGTGCATATGCTTAAAAAAACAATAAAGCGGGACGTATTGAGATGCAGAGCGTCGTACGGAGTGTGATTAGCATACGGAGCAGAAAATCCTCCTTATAAGGAAGGCAGACCACTTTCATGAACATTGGTGACTCAAATTCTTTTTAGGCAAAGAGAGAAAGTTTAGTACTGTGGGATTTGATTAGAAAATCAATTAGCTTAATTAAATCCATATAAATATATGGATTTAAAATGGAGGCTAATTTCCATTTTAGCACATAAATATATACACACACGAAGAACGTACATAAACTAAAATGAGATGTTTACAATAATATGATATATTCTTAATGATTCAGATTAATTTAAGGAAATAAAATAGTATAAATTCATGTTTACATTTATACTATAAATTTAAACATTAATTAAATTTATAATATAAATTTTCCATCTTACATAGAAAATGTAAGACATCGACATAATAATTAAATGGTGTGAAGGGAATATTAAAAGAGTAAGCTTCCTCTCTCTCCTTTTCAAACACGTACTGTAGCCAAAATGACTGATTATGTTGCCAGACATTGTTTTTTGTGTACTCTGATCTGCTGTATATATGTACATATCTATATGTGTTACTAACATATAGATGTAATATATATATATATATATATATATATATATATATATATGTACATATAGGGTACAAAAGGAGGGGTTAAGTTAACTGAGGCCGGTATTGTTTTCCAATCTCCGTCGTCCATTAATCAGGACGATCCGGCTCTAATTGGCGTTTTGGTTAAGCTGCTCTCCAGACCCCGGCTCCCTCCGCTGGCCTAAATAATGGCGTTACGCCACAAGTGCCGCCACACATTGAGGAGGACAATGTGCCGCTTGTCTGAGGGTCCAGGACAGGATCCCCACCCTCTCGTCTTCGCCTCCTTTCTTAGCTCCCCCCTGCACCCTCCAAAATAAACCTCACACGCAAACACAAAGAAGGCCTCACACTATTGAGATCTCTCCATCGCAGGCTCCTTCTCCTCGTCTGTCTGCCTCCCCCTCCTCTCATTCCCACACCCCTCCATCATCCTGCAGCCCGTTTAGCTTCTCAACCAGCAGTTGCATTTATTTGGCTCAGTAGTCAGGTAAAAAGGAAATCTGAATTTCTATACAGTGATTTATTTTACCTCTTTAAGCACAAGCAGCTGCCTTTAAGAAAAACTCCCAGTGTAGAATGGTTATCGAAAAACGACACACTTGCACTGCAGGTCCATGACAATCATTTTATGGTATTTATAGATGGATGCACTGCAAAAACACACAATCTTACCAAGTATTTTTAGTCTAGTTTCTAGTGCAAATATCTTATTACACTGGACATAAGTCAAAACTAACTGGTGGAAGATATAGGATATTGTTTTAAGTAAATAATTCCTTAATATTGGTGATAAAATTCTTGTTCCATTAACAGATAAATTTACTTATAACAAGACATTTTCCACATATGATAAGTGGAATAATCTGCCAATGGAACAAGAACATTTTCACCAATATTAAAGAATTATTTACTTAAAACAAGCTTCTTTATCTTTTTAAATTAGTTTTGTCTTAATTTAAGTGTAATAAGATAATTTGCACTACAAACAAAACTAAATATACTTGGTAAAATTGTGTGTTTTTGCAGTGTAGATGGATAGATAGAAAACTTTACTTTTCATCATCTCTGTCTCCCACATATCACTCTTGTACATAAAAATGCTTAAAACATTAAAAACTTAAATGTCTTCTGTACCCAGATGCAGTTAAACGAAGGTAAATAAAGTAAATAAGGATGCAGATCTGGAAAAAATTAAGAGCCCACATTACTGAGTCCCATTGGAAACCTCCTAATTATTGCACCAAACATTGATTTCTGAACTCTTTGAGTTAAAACATTAATATAGTTGTTTCTAAATGAATATCAAATTGTTTTCTTTACATTATTTCAGGTCTGAAAGCGCTGAATCTTTTTATTTTGACCTTTTCTCATTTTCTGCTAATAAATATTACATTTTTGCTTGTAATTTCAGAGACATGATGTCAGTAGTTCATAGAACAAAAGGACAATGTTCATTTTACTCAAACATATAGATTTAAAGAGTAAAATCAGAGAAACATNTCNTNTTAAGTGGTCTCTTCATGTTTCCCAGAGCTGTAGATCTAAATTTAACCCAACAGCAAATGATTAAAGATTAAAGTCAGTCTTGATGTTATTTAGACAAAATGTAATATTTATTAAAATAAAAAAATTTAATTTCTTCACCTATTTATAAGAATTACAGACCCACACAATGCAGCTCATAAAATATCATAAAATAAAAAATTTGTTGTGTTTCTCTATTAAGAGAAAATTTCACGTTTATTTTTAAAAGTGGGATGATGTGAACGTTTATATGTAAATACATGAACTTACAGTCAGGAAGCCAATTTCTATTTTTCCTCATTGTTTGGTTGAAATCAATGTTGCATTTATATAAATGTATATATTTTTGTATACAGCAGCAGATGGGTGGGTACTGGTATCGGGCTTAGGATTTAAAATGTTTCCCTTCATATTGTTTCTACTGCGTCCACTGCCCCACCCCTACCTGTTGCTGCACACCGCTAGTCATCTTGGAAATGTTTCTGTGACTGTAAGGTGTTTTATCTGAGCAGATTGGACTAATTAACCAGCTGGTAGCTTGTTAAACTGCAGGTTTTATTCTATAAAGAGTAGATAAAAGTGTTTATATTCTGGATAATAAGACTGAAACTATACCACTAAATTTGTCGAGTGTTTTTGTTTGAGTCAATAAATAAGAATAATGGATTGATTATAGGTGATCAGCTCAAAAGAACAACAAAATGAAATGATACAGATGTCATTATTATTACTTTGACAATCAATTTGCACTTTTTTTAATCAGTTATAAGAATAATGGTGTTTTTCCGTTTTATTAGGTCACATTTTTGTTTATAATTATAGTGAGAATCTCGTATTTCTCCATTCTTGAATTTGATTTCTGGATATTTTTGGTCTGAAGGAGCATGAAGAATGAAAACATATTTATATATCTGAACTTTATTCACTTTAGCTCTATAAAGGTTGTATCTATCTATTCTTTCATCCATTTCTCTCTCCATCTGTGTCGCTGTCCATCCCTCCATTAATTTATCTATGATCCATTTATTCATCCACACATCCAGCCACTCGTCTGGTATTCATCCATCCATTGTGTTTTTTTTTCCATGTATAAAACCTTCCATAACTCTTTGAATTCATTAACTGTTTTAGTTTAAGTTTAAAAATGGGTTTGCAAAATGAAAGTGACTGGAGGTCAAATACTCTACAGGCCAACTGAATTGTTTTTACAGTACATACTGGGATTTTTTTTTCGTCCTTGCATAAATTAGGCTTTCAGATTTGTACCAAAACGTGTCGCAGTTTCTTCGTAAAACCTGATGCTACGTCGACTGAACCGAAGGTTTAAGCTAAAACACATTTCTCATGTGAGAACGCGGCTAAGTCTGATTACAAGTGGAGATTTATGAACGCCGCTGTGTTGCTAATTACGGCTCCCCGCGTACGTGTGGGAGGGTTTAGCTTGTTTTTTTTGCCCCTCTATTTCATCAAATCAAGATGCCGGCACGCTCATCTGGAATTAAAAGCTCCACATGCAGAAATACCGCCAGTTGTGCTAATTGCAACTCTTTTGTAATTAAAAACACTGAAACAATTTAATTAACGAGACTTTTCCCGGGCATCGCCGTTAGAATCCCGATCAGCTGCAGCGAGACGACGGGCACGGCGGAAAGCGGCGCAGTTGCCCTTAAAAATGCCACCTCTTCGACATTAAGACGCCGCCGGCTGGCTGCACGGTTTTCTCCTATCTCATCCCTTCCTGCACGTCTCTGGGGGGGGCGGCGGTCTCTGCAATTAACACTCTGGCAGTAATTAACACCGTCTCGAGGCGACCAATGGCGCGGAAAGGATGAGGGCATAACGTGAAGTGGGGGAAGGTGCAGCGCCGGCTTGTCCATGTTTCCCGTTCAGCTGCCATTTTGTGCCAGTCTTAGCACCTAAGATGGTGGCGGGACTGTGACTTGCCATGCGGGAGAGGAGGACAAACTGGCAAGGGAGGGGTCAGAGACGAGGAGGATTATGGGATCGAGGAAGGAGTCTTTTATTTTCATTCTTCTAGTTGGTGCATCACTACCAAGACGGCGAGGGGGGGAGGAGAAGGAGGCATGATCGTCACATCGCTGCCCTACATGCACATTCAGGAGGAACTCTCCCACTCACAAACATGGCACAGGAAAAAAAAAACAAAGTCACAGGAGGGAAACACAACTCCACATGTCGGTCTGTTCATTAAAAAAAATAATAAAGCGTCCAAATGTACACACAGTGCCCCATGCATGAGCAAACACACACATTCGCACAAACAACCAACACAGCCGTTCTCATGGTATGGTCTGCCCCTGAGCATGCAAATGACATTCATTATGCAAATGCATACAAATCAGAGCCAACCATCTGAGAATCTGAGCTGGGGAAAAAAAACACAAAGAATGAAATTAAATGAATGAGGGGGGAGGAGGGAAGTACAGTCCGGTCAACAGAAAATGGATTATAACCTGCTTCATTAGGACACAAACTGGCTTAAATCTCGGTTTTACACTGATAAAAATACTCGCACTTTGTCTGCTAATCAAGCACTGATTTTATATAGCAGCTGGATAAACCTTACAGCATGCTGAGTGACGTTGCGTTCTCTTACTCTCACCAGTTAACACCGTTTAATGTGACCCTCTAAGAGCTTCAAATTGGGAGGAATTGAGCTCAAAATGTGCCTGAAGGGTCACGTAATTAATACCGAGTTTGTTTCTTTTTCACGCGGTTTTAATGGCACCTTTGAGTTTCTTCGGTTTTTTGTTATTTAGATGTCCTTTTGTTGTATTTTTTTGATTCCACAAAATCACCTGCAAAAAAAAGAAGGAAAAAAAAAAGGCTTCCAGTGGAGTGGAGATGCTCCAAACGAGGCAAAGTGCTGCTAATTGCCTTTTCGCGGTGGTCTTTGTTTTGTCTCCACCTCTGCCTCTGCAGGACGCGCTCTCTGAAACCCAACAAGAGCTGCAGTCTCATTATGTGCTTTTATGAAGGCTGCCATAAAAGAAGCCAAACCCTGATGAGTATGGATTAATATTCATGTGAGGGTGGGGAGGGGGATGAACGTGTAAACACTCGGCCTTTATGTGCAGGAGCCTGAAACATGCATGAATCTGCAGCAGTTTGCTGCTAAATGCAGAACGATATCACAGCAAGTTACCTGTGTGAGGTTTTATAAAGGCCACGGCTTCAAAAACAAACGCTCCCCCCAGAGGAAGAATCGTCTCTAACATCATGGGGAATAGAGGCACACACCCTCCCCTCCCACACCTGTTGCTGGAAAGAGTTACACTCAGTCAGTGGAACAAGCTCCTCCTTTTTCACCGATCCATCCAGGTTTGACTAATGTATATTTTACTATTTTTATGTCTGCCTCTCTTTAAGGTTATCCTGATGCAAAATAAATCACTGAAGTTGCTGTTTATGTGTTTTGATAAATATAATCGTAATTTTAAAGTTATTTTAGCTGATGAAATACTGAAATCCAGATGGTAGTTTCTTAGTTTTTGTTAAAGTATTTAAAAGGAAAGACCAACCAGCAGCCTATAAACACCAATATTAAAGTTAGAAAATACTGAAATAGTTATATTTTAAATTGAACCTAAGCATCATTAGCAGTTAGCAGGGCATTAAACTGGTAAATAATTGTTTATTACATACCCAAGACGAGGGCTGCCCACTTCCTACTGACTGGACATGACAATAAACTGTAGAACTTATGACGACGTTTTTGTTCCTGAGCATTCATGCCATCCCTAAACGGAAAAATGCCCTGGGCAGAGAGCCGTATCAAAGCTATTATAGCTCTCTGTCAGTTTATAAAAAGTAGAATCACAGAAATTGTTCATATTTTTCTCAATAAACATGTTGATGGATGTTTACCTTTCTGCTTAACTCTGTTTATCAGAATAAAAATAATTTTAAATTACACATTTAAATTAAAATTGTGATTTTCAGTGTTTCATTCTTGTGGCACCAGTGGGAATAATTGCTGCTTTCGTTTTCTGAGTTAAAGAAATTAGATTTTTGCCATCGTAGTTTTACAGCAGCAGGACAGGCCCATTTCCACGTTGCATTTCAAAAGTATTTCAAATACGAAATCAATTTCACTCTGAGGAATTTCACTCTGAGGAAAAAAAAAAGATATAAGATGGAAAATTGTTCAAAGTAAAAAATATCTAGTACTGAATCTCTTCAACTATATAAAATATAAAAACTGTATTAAACTGTAAAAAAATATACATGCCATGTTTTCTGGGACTTTTCTGGAAACATATGGGATTGAAATATTTGTATTTATTTTTGAATGAGACGATTAATCTGAAAAGAATAATCCCTGATTAGACTCAGAAATGAGGATTTGTAAAGTGTGTGTTTTAAAGCATTCCTGAAAAATACTTGACACCAAAAATGTTTTAATATTTCTGTGAATGTGACTCTTACTTTTGTGATTTTTGTAATGTTTTCTCTCAATTTGCCATAATAAAATGTGTTCTGATTACCTTCTCATTTTAGTGACTCTGTTTTTAACATATTTTTCAAGAACAGCAGATCTGTGAGGTTTGAAATCACTCATGAGTGTTTAGTTTGAATTTAACCTTTTATAAAAAAAGAAATGAGCACACAGATGCTAGCCCATAGTGTGAGTTTGCTCTTTTTAATCCCAGTTATTGTCTTTTCGCCCACAGCGCACACAGATGCGTCCCTCCCCTCTCGGTAAAATCGGCGCTTATGTAACGCAGCATCATACCTTCACATCATTGGTTAGCAGCAGCTGCCGTCCACCTCCAGCCCGATCCGCTGCTCTCTGGGCTCAATTTCCACGCCGTTTTCCTTCTTCCTGTGCAGGCGTGTAATGGGATTCTTGTTACTTTCGGTTATCTAGCTTTATGAAGAATGTACGTCACTCATACAGCTAGATAACCAAAGATAACAGACAACCCCTCAGGCCTGCAGCAACGAATGCGCGACAGAAACCTCTGGATGCTCCTGGAAGGACAAACGGCCACAGAAAGCAGAAGACATCAGAACTAATTCACCAAAACAAAGCAAAGCTAATTTACTCTGGAATATGTGCCAACCAGCAGGCAGAGGTGTAAATTAAGATAGTAATAGTCTCACGTTATATATGTGGAGGTTTAACACAGACGACTGATCACATGGTGATAAACGCATCCCTGTGAAATTGCTTTAACAAATAAAAAAAAAGCATCTCTAAAGATTCACAAGGCGAAGCTGCTGGGAAAATGCATCCTCTAAGCAATTAAATGTCATGCAAATGAAATTTGAATTTTATTGCAATTCAAAGCAAAACCATACAGTAAAAATCTGATTTAAAAAAAAAACAGCAACATTTTAATGAGGAAGTAGATAAAGCAGCAACACAAAATTTAATAAATGTTCTAATTCTACAGGAAGTGTAAATCTGTACTTATAATAATGGAAAAATAATAAACATTACACACTATTGTGCATAACTTCCTGATGTACTAGTTTACACTAATTCTAAGAAATTGGAATTAAAAAACTAAAGTGTTTCAAACATGTTAAGGTAATTTTTGGAAGTAAAGAAAATGTTAATTTTTGTACTATGTGATGCATTTGAGAAAAAAATTATATTACAATTATTGCTGGAAGAAATTAGAAAAATAAACTTTATTTCAATGTGTGAGAGGGAATTAGTATTTTATTACAGCTTTTAGTAAACAGACTTTTATTTATTTTTTAATTAGCTTTCTTTTGGGTTTAAGTGGAGATGAGAAGCCTAATTAACACTCTACATTATCACAGAGATAATTATTCTTTCTTTACAGTGTGGTGGAAACAGGCCACTGATCCCATTCAACCCCACAGGCTGAGCAGATTAATGCCAACAGAAAACATTAAATACATATGTATTTATGAAGGGGGAACATGGTTTATTTTGCAGCTGCTTCCCTTTAATCAGTGTTTGGGTTTTTGCCAGAAACAGCCATTGCTGCAGATCATTTCTCTGCGTCACGTCTCCAGGCCATGACGCACTCTGAAGGTTTTTATTCACTCAGACAATTTCTCTCTCTTTTTTTGTAGAACTCCAGGAACGTTTTTCATTAATTTTATGGGTTTTTTTATTATTATTTTCATAAATGTTTTTAACTACATGCTCTCTGACGTACTTATTTATTTGGCGTTGTATATTTTTAGATTTGACAAAAAAAGCGACGTAGTTTGTCTAGTGTGTTTTTAATAAACCTTTTTGTCTTCATCAATTCTTACCTTATTTTTAACTTTATTTAAATAACTTGTATATACATTCATTTGTTTCTTTTGATTCTACATAACAGACCTGTAACGCGGAATAGTAATAAAGTGTTTTCCATGTCTTTTATTTGAATAATTGTAAAGTTTTTAGCTTTTATGGCAGCGATAGAAACGATCCCGACCGGATTTAGCGAACATTTCCAGACTGAAGTTCTTTCACCTCCTCATTTCTGAAAAGTTTGCGCCACAATGCAGCGGGATTGTGGAAATGTCTGTCAATCATATATTCACCTGGAGATTTGAAGGGTGTCTCGATCTTCAGCTCTACAAAAAACAACAATAATTAATAAAAATAATTAAACAAATATGGTGCGCCGGAAAATAAAGTTGCACACGGCTTCATCCACGTGAATTTCTGGGTTTTGGCGGAAATATCCTGGGATGATGGGAACTCTGTGGTAAAAGCTGCAGGTTGTATCGCTCTGCAGCTTCCGTGACTCTGCAGATGCTGCTGCTGCTGCTGCTGCAGACTCAAAGCGACGGGCCCCTTCTCCATCTCAAACATGCTGTGCGTCTCAGCGCATGGCTCAGCTGCCAAAATCTGGATTCTTTGCCCATCTTTGGACTTCAAGGGAAATTTCACGGTAGAAAATCGCATATTTATGCATGGAATAATCGAGTTCAATCTCTGGTTTTCTTGATTTGCGTAAAGATTTTGTGATGAAGCAAAAATACACAATAACAAAGAAAAATAACCTAAAATTATCTCAAAACTGATGGGAAATAAGCAAGGCTTCACTTTAAAATGATTATTTCCAAAAACTGTAACATTTTAAGTTAATATTTATATACAAAAGATAAAAGTACAGCAGAAGTAGGCTTGAACTTCCAGAGAGATTAAACAGGCCTTACGTAAGAGCCCTAGCTCCATAATCTCAGCCTGCAGGAAGTCCTGCTGCTGCTGGACGCACAAACCAAAATCATGCCTTAAATTTCTTCGCCTGTTCGTAATGTAGGCTAACTCTTAGTATGCAGAGTAGGCCGGATGCATTAGCAAAATGTTGTGAAAGGTCGCAGCAGCAAACAGGACAAACTATGCAGCACGAGGGTCATAACTCCTGGAAAAACCCCGCTGTGAAGTTGAGATGCACAATAAAAACTGTCACATGTGTCTCTTTACACAGTATATGGTGCATCATGGACTTATGTAACACTCGAAATAGTAATGAGAGAGCATATGGCAGATCCTGAGACAGTTTTGCATGGATACATTCAGGTTCATAAGATTTGAATCTGCGAAAACAACAGCATCTAAAGTAAATAACCGGATGTCTTTCATGTGGCTTTCTAAAAATTTGCTAAACGCGGCGCAAATAAGGATATTTGCATCCTGTGGTGCAATTTATTGCGGTTATCATTTAAAAACTGTGTTGTGTTGAAGCTGCAGATCTCCAAACAAACGTGTTTGCAGCCACAAGTGAAGCTGCACGTCTCTTGCTGCTGACATCACATGATGTTCGGAGTCTTTATCTCAGATGCTGCTGCTGCTGCTGCTGCGCACCATGCATGCATCTCTAACTCATCTCAACACAAACCCGCCTCCCTGGAAACAAATCCGGATCAAATTTATTCTATAAATCTTCACCTGATCCACATCCGGAGCCAAAGATAATAAACGATACACATATTTTTATTTAGCTCAGCTCGGAACACTTAAAGGGCAGCTGCAGCTTATATTTTGTTTGTTTGTTTGTTTTTATATCCAGACGAGATCAGAGTGTTGATAAATTATGTTTTTAAAGAGGAAGCAGGTCTTACTCTTTCCTCCTCGGGGGCTCCAGGGCGGGCTTTTAGGGGGTCCTCCTTGTAAGCGGCGGTCCCTCCGGGTGTGCTGCATGCTGGGAGCCAAATGAACGCGTTCATGAGCTTTGTGGCGACGACGCATCGTGACGTCCCAGCCGGCGCAGTCCATTTATGCTCCTGACGGGTCCATCCTCCGCGTCCACAGCTCCGGTCCTCCCCGCTGCTAACGCGGGGCTTGGAGCCGCCCTCACGCCCCGGACAGCTACATCTCCACCAGCGATGTCTCCCAAAGTGACTCAACGTCTCGTTTGTCCAAATTCATATAGCTGCGTCCAGAGGAAGACCACACCCCCATGTGGGTCGGTGAGGTAACACTGTTCCCACCCTCTTAGCTTTTTTTTTTCTTTTTTAATTTATGCAAAACGAAAGATCCCATTATAATACGAACCGTAAGCCTGGCACCGCTGCTCACGCCCCCCAACAGACGCATGCAGAAGTGCATCAACCATGCATGCCTCTGACTCTAAAGGTCAAATATCCTCATTTTTTCCATTTCCATATAGTCCAGCCTTCCAACTCCCAGTAGTTAAATTAATTTCCATTAAATGAGTTAAACTTCTTCAGACTGATAGTCACCAAACAAGTGGTGCATTTGTTTGGTAATACTGTAGCATTTACACTTAGAAAATATGCAAGTTATACTTTTTATAATGTGTTTTCTCTTGGTGAAATGTCTGTTTGACATAAATCATCATCATCATCAAACACTGGAAACAGATGAAAGTTGCAGAAGTGAACAAAACTCTCTTGAAATTGAATTTTTGAGAGTAAGAAAACTGAAACAATTATAAATCTTTCCAAACTTTTCCAGCCTGCAATGTGGCTGATATGTAACCAACATCTGTTTGAATGAAAACCTGGTTGCAGAAGTTTATTGGAAGATATTTTAGTTTAATTTCAGCATTTGTTCCTCATTAGTTCACACCAATTACATAGTGGAGATTTTTAACATGAATATTTTAACATAAAGTAAATATGTACAAAAGACAATATTTTTTCTGTCATTTAATTGTTTCATCCATCCATCAACTTTGCACCACATTTTTGCTCATTCCCACTTTATTTATCCACAAAGGAAGTTAAATCCTGTCATAACTCATCCAACTTTCTCCAGAGTCATGGATGATG